TTAACAAGCCATAGTAATTGCATATATGATATACTTGCATATGTATTTAATTTGCATAATTCTTTATGTAAAAGGCTTTGCAGATCAAAGCCGTTCCTAATGAACAGGAAACGTAATATTAAGTTAGCAAATATATTGTAATTTACTGTATGTACAATGAACAGGGTCCGACTGTGCCGTTCATTATGAAACGTGAAGTAATTGAATTTTATTTTTTGCTCGCAAATTCAGCTTTCATGTTCGAGCATTCATTTCGCCCATTAATGAAACTACCTCAAATCGTTCGTAAAAAGAAAAAAATCATTATCATAATAAGGAAAACGAAATTACTTCATTCGTAGATTGAATGTCGTGAAATTTCTGTTGTAGCGCTCGCATGTGCATAGTATTCCGCACTATAATTTCTTGTAGTAAGTTACTTCGATCTAGAATCAATGACTACTATTAGAATTGGCTCGACACTTTTACGTTCAAGACAAAGTACTACTGTTTTCCTTGTAAAAATTCAGTAAATAATTTCTTTATGTGGAAGCCCCTACAGCCTTTATATATACAATATCCCGACGCATTAAGTATCCTGGATCCGCGCCCCAACAGCCCCTATATACAATATCCCGACGCAATAAGTATCCTGGATCCGCGCCCCAACAGCCCCTATATACAATATCCCGACATGATAAGTATCCTAGATACGCGTCCCAACAGCCCCTATATACAATACCCCGACACGATAAGTATCCTGGATACGCGCCCCAACAGCCCCTATATACAATATCCCGACACGATAAGTATCCTGGATACGCGCCCCAACAGCCCCTATATTCAATATCCCGACGCAATAAGTATCCTGGATCCGCGCCCCAACAGCCCCTATATACAATATCCCGACACGATAAGTATCCTGGATACGCGCCCCAACAGCCCCTATATAGAATATCCCGACACGATAAGTATCCTGGATACGCGCCCCAACAGCACTAATTAAAATTGCACAGTTTTATACTTCAAACACACAAACACAAACTCTGGCAAACTTATAAATTTATAAGAATATACATACTAAGTTAGGAGGAGTCCTCAGAATAAAGAATCAGGATCTTAAAACCCTATAGACATGACCAGTGCATTGAACTGCTCATGGTCATTTTTTATACATGTTCATTGAACTGGTACTAACAACATTAAATCAGTAATGTATGTTATGAAATCACCGGATTTTGAAATTTGCAGAAGAAGGCAGCAAAAATGTAATGAAATGAATAACGTACCCTATATTATTGATTTAATAATAAATACAGTAATAATACAACTGTAAGAAATAAAGAAACAACACACCAGCTTTCAATGGTTTCGCTACCTCCCCATTGCATCAAATAGAAAATTGTAAACAGTTGAATAATAAATTAAAACAACAAATGTGCCTATGTTATTTTTAAAATAATATATGATTGAGGAAATAAGAAGAAGCTGCTGAAATACATGAAAATTTATGGTAAGACAGGGCCAAGCGCAAATCAATGAAGAAATAAATCATCTAAACTATAATTTATCTTCATTAAATTACCCATAATCCATCATTGTTACATGACTTTCTTTCTCGTCTTGTAACATATATGATGAGCTTTCTCACCGTGGCTGATAATGCGGCAGGAATCCTTGCGAGTTGTATTCAGTAAAAAAGTTCAAGTTGCATTTGTACCACATTCAGTGCAACAGTAGGGTAACATGGGGCAGCGCACCCACCCCTTTTTTTATAAACTAAATTTTTGATGAAGTTTTAATTGATGCGAGGTAGTTCATTGTTTTGTTTAAAGTTACAACTAATGAGGAATATATGATGTGAAGTTGAAGCCTATAGAGTTCTTATTTTTTTTGTTAAACACTATTTTGTAAAAAATGTCAAAATGGGCTCACTGCCCCACCCGCAATGAGCCCATGGGCTTGGGGCAAGGCGCCCACCCCTGGTCCCTTTACTCCAATTGCATATTTTTTTTTGCTCTAAAGATGATAAAACAACACTTTACAATAAAAATAAAAACATAACTCAGTACTCACTGCAGTGAGTGACAGAGCGCATTTTCTCGTCGACGAAAACTTGAGGTCACGGACGGACGGACAGACAGACAGACGGACATGGCGAGCACAATAGTGCATTTTTTCCATAAATGAGAAGATGCGCTAAAAACGTGTAATAAAAATATTACATTCATTCATTTATTAACAACCTAAAAAATCACATCCTTAACTGGAAAGAAATATATTCTTGGCTTAAAAAATCTATCACTGACGCGGAAAAACTATTTCCTTGGCATAAAAAATAAATCTTTGGCATAAAAAAATATATCCTTGACTTGAAAAATATATTCATGCCATAAAAATTCATCCTTGGCATGAAAAAATGTATCCATAACTAAAAAAAATATTTACTTGACCAAAAAAAATTCATTCGTTCCAGTTTCGTCCATAATCCAGATATGTGCAGGAATTTCGTACTTGATCCTGATTTAAGCCAAGGTTGTAGTTATCGTATCTTCCTAAACCAAGAACTCCAGGTTGCTGCATCTTGCAGTCTTTGGCCGACGCAACGTTTAATTCGCAATTTTAACTCTTCTTAATTTGTCATTCCTAATTTCCTCCAAACATTCTAAAGTTCAGTTTGAGAATAGTTGGCTATATTGGTCTTTCCTTTTATAGTTGCGCATATTGTTGAAAGGGAGAAAGAGAGAAAAGGGGTCACAAATACGCATCATTAGAAACTGGAACCTGCTGCCTTGAGGCGTTAAATTAAAATATACAACATGAAGTGTAATTTGAATTTCAAAAAAAGCTTGTCATGGTTTTGAAGAGCACATTAAGACAAATCTAATGATGTATAACACAAGACTTCACAGAGGGGTATTTAGCCCACCATGGGCGCTTTGCCCCGTGACACGCGTGGGCCCGTTGCCCCACTAGGTATCATTTCAATTTATATCGTGTCAAAATTTTAGTTTAAATGCTAATAGTCTAAACTTGAGTTCAAAATTATCCACATAAATAATAATTTCAAAATATAATTCACAGTACTTTCAAAAGCTTCATATAGAGTAATCGAAAACAGATTTTTAAAGCTGTAAATAAACTTTTATCTGGGCTAAATTATATTTTATTAGTATGATATAATATTTTATCACAATATTATTACTTACATGATTAATTACATGAAGCATTATAAATGAACATACAATTTTAGCACGAAATATGAAAATATACATGAAAATTTCGTCAGCTTGTCAATTAGAAGCCATGGTTGTGTGGTATTGATTATAACCCACAGCTTATCGCACACAGTATCAAGGTCGTTCGCTCACAACATGTGCATCCGTTCACTTCAGATTCCGATTAAGTTTTGGCTACACAAGATGTACCACAAATATTCATGCAAGACATACATATTGTTCAGCACGTCTGTTTATTTCCGTGCTTCCAACCTACAAATTACACCGTTAAAACAGGCAACCATCACACGAACAAAATCACATAAGAATTTACCCAGAAATAAATGCATTTCCCAGTCCCGCTCAGGTCGCTAACCTGAATTTACGGAACTAAATCCCAAAAAGCGCTTTTACAGTAACGCAAAATTAGGACCTTATTTACTCAAGATGCCTGCTGTCCTATCAGTCAGTAAGAAAAACGATCCGACTGAGAGATAGTGTCTCGGTCGCTCTGAATTTCTAATATATATTCAGTACCATAGGACCCACGTTATTAAGTGCTTTAAGCTATTAATAAAGGAAAAAATGCATGAGCAATTTATATGAAAATTTTTAATGTTTCGCTTAACTTTTTATCATTCGCTTTTCAAACTTTCAATGCTCAAGACATATAATGATAAGTTGGTTGCACTATCAAGTGACAGTTGGGAAGGGAAAATATGACATTCATACTAACGTAATCCCCCAACTTTGACTGCTCGGCCCTGCAATTACAACATAAAAGAACTTCCTGTGATAAAGTTAAGCATTCAAAATCCTTGTATGGTTTTCAACCCTTTATTTGCGTCCTCGCATCAAACCTGCGAAAAGTTTTCTCTGCATCCACTTTACTAGAATAAATTCCAGATGTTGAAGCTGTAATAAGGTTTTTTCCTCCTTTGCATCGCAGTCCTCAAATTCACACAAACGAGCTGCAAAAAAATGTATGCAATCTACTGAAAAGCAGTCTCGTCGTGATCACACAGAAGAGTTACACACACACACAAAATGTTGAAATTATTTTCAAACGAGCGAAGAATGTGATATCGACACGATAAAGTCAGACTCACATCTATAGAAACATTTAAACTGACTGCATGACATGCAAGATGGCGCTGTCGCTGATCAAGAAAAAGCGTCCGGCGTAATCATGCAAGATTCAATAAGGCGAACATATGAGAATGAACTCGCTCCTTATTTTCCAACATATAAAAGAAATCAGTGGCAAGGTTCGAAGTATGTAATTAATTGAATACAATTCCCACAGGTAAAAGAGAGTATAGTTTTGATTTTTTTATCAATTACCTGGAGATAAATTTCGTTGTTCCTGGCATGAAAAGTTTTAAAATAACGATGTGATTTCTCTGAATAATTTGTGTGGGTCATGCAGCTTTATCTCTTCTTACTCAATATAGCTGTGTTAAAACAACCCTCAGCAGTGATATCATTAAATATTATTACAGCCAATGATGGACTTTAGTTACAAACTTGCAGCAGCTAAAGCCACTCGTGCAAAAACTATAGGTCCTGCTGATTGAAGTTTAATTGCAAATTAAATTTATTTTAGGTCATTGAGCAATTAATGCATTGACTAATATTCTCCCGCAATCGAAGTCACAAAATATAGCAGATTTTAATGCATTTTTCCTCGGGAAAATCATTTATTGATATGCAGGCGGAAAAATGTCAGCTGGGGGCAGTCCGTCAGTTTTCGGCCGCCTATATAAGGCACGGCTGCCGTGACCCGAGCACAGCCCATCCAGGCCCCGGGCGAGAAGAACAGAGCACCTTCCTGAGGATCAAGGAACTGCACACACGACGGCTAAAAATTGACACTTTTTCGGCTAAAAAGTAGAGTAAGTAGAGGGCTGGATCTACTTGTATGAGCATTTCCTTACTCCGTAGTTTTTAGAAAAGAAGGAATCCAATAGTGTCATCATGCATTTCTTAAACGTGTATTTCATACCGAATCAAAATGCTGCTCGCTTTCCTTGGTATTTGATTGCTAAATTTAATATACATTTACAATAGCAAGATCTATTTGCAGTGACAATACGGAATTGAAAGAGTTTTCCTGCATATATTATTCACGTCCATAATTGTGCAGGAACCCAACAGATTTTGAGGGCGACAGCAGCTTCAGGATGCAATTGGAAATAACAATGGTGAGAACTGTGTTAATTTATTTTGATTTAAACCATAAGTTTTAATAGTGATGGTTCGTTGCATCTAATAACCTAAAATAACTTCACAGAGCTTGAAAGCTAAGAGAAGGCAAAACAAAGTCCCCAAATCTCCTCTGAAAACATTATGGAAGCCGGCTTCAACATCGTTAAAAGAAATTGTATGAAATGCAGGTAAAATAAGATTTACTCACATTAATGATATAAAATCGCTGTTATTTTATCAATTACATTAAATTATCCGAGTCGATGGCACTTATAAATCTTACATTGTATGACACAGTTGGATGACACCGTTCGTAGTTTATATCAGAATCAGTTTACAGGGTGTAAATGCATTGGAATCTCAAATATAGTAAACCAACGTATGAACTTTGCTTTAAAACTCCCCGGAATTTCAATTACTTGACTGCATTTCGAATCCATCGACTTCTTAAGTAATTGAAAACACACGGGATTTATGTTGGTGATAGACAAACTTGACCTCATATTCGTTCTAGTCTCATTACAGTCATACCATGACTACTGGGTAATCTCATTACAGTCATACCATGACTACTGGGTAATCTCATTACAGTCATACCATGACTACTGGGTAATTTTTCGTTTCCGACAAAGCGCTGAAGTTTTGTTCCTCATTTTCTGTGCGATGGTAGGATATCAATTATTTCTTATTTAATTTTTAGCTATATTAAAACAATGCATGTCTGCAACACACGACAATCGTCTGCAACACACGACAATCGTCTGCAACACACGACGTCTGTAACAGCTTCTGTGTTTCAGGTGCTGCTCCTGGTCGCGGGGTTGGCCAGGTGAGGAACAAATTAAAACTTTTCTCACTTTGCTCTCAGTATTTCACTCAACATACCTCATATTTTGCAATAATTTCAGCAATTTAAAGGACTTCTATAATTGTAGAATGGTTTTACTGAATACTAATACCAATTAAATACCGATTATTTATTTCTCTCTGCCAATATTTTTTATAATTCCTGTATATTCTATGGATGGAAAATGGTTCTATGCAGACTATGCTACGTGAAGTTTTTTATAGTCATTGAAGAGAACAAATTCAGGTAAACCTTTATCTATAGAATTGTTCATTTACTTTGCAGAGGACTTCCTACTATTGTCAATACAACCCTATGTGTCGGTGCCCATGATGGAACCCAACATTGTGGTAGCTGCTTACAGCCTATTGAGTGCAAAACCCAGGAACCAGTCGCACTTCCAATTTCTTGCTACCCAGGCACAGTAAGTACAAAGAATGTAATAAGTTCATTTACATCATGTACGTTTTAATAACCTCATAGATGATAGAAGTAAACAGTATGCTGTTGTCGGTCTTCCAGATACTTAGCTCTCGAAGAGAGTTTTTGTAGAAGGAGAATCCGATTTCTGCACAAACTATTTTCTGGCAATATATTTCACGTAGGTCGCTTCACATATTTATCAGAAGATGGTTTTCTAACCGTAGCAGCGGAAATGCTATGAATAGTAAGACACTATAAATAACCGCCCCCAAAAAGCTTTTAATATTATATAATCATAATTTCTTGTCAGGTGTGTGAGGAGATCACCCCAACCACAGTAGCATGCGTTCCAATTGCATCGGCCACGGCCTGCCAGTGCACCAGCGACAAATGCGACGATTACGACTCACAATTCAGAGTCAAATGTGACGCCAGCGGCATTACTGATGTAGTTGACTGTAACTCACGTAATCGATGTATTGGGAACGGCACTTGCAGTGCTTGTCCGTCCTCAGGGTCTGTAGATAGCTTTGTTGACCAGGAATGCAGCTCCAGGTACAGATGTACTAACGGAGCATTCTCATCAGTCGTGAACTGTGCCCAGGGCGAATACGTGTCGAAGAATGGCTCCTGTTCCCAAGCGCCGCCCATACCTTGTGCAGCAGCTGATTTATGCACAGCTGGACTCTGTCCTGACTTGACTAACTGCTCACGGTACTACATCTGTGATCCAAATCAGGTGCCTCCGGCGATCGAATATTTTTCATGCCCATCAGACCAGTACTTCAACCCTAAAACGTACTTATGTGAGTCCACAACCACTAATTGTGATCCATGGACTACATGTAAATTCACATCAGTAGATGGTGGGACAAAACGTACGAGTACAGCAACAGTTTCGCCCGATACACCACCTGAAGATTGCAACGCAAACACCGTTGGAAATTTCCCGCATGGACCGTGTGATTCACAGTAAGTTTTTCCCAGTTTTTAATAAAATATTTAATTGAGAATTAAAAAACGGGGAATAAGTGAATTACTTTCATGATTGAATGTTTTTCAAAGCAAATTCAATATAAAAATTCAAGTTTTCTGACATAAGTGCAGCTCTAATTCAAATCACCGAAGGAAAATTACTTGCTTGTATCGTAAGATCGTAGTTGAAACATAATTTCACACGTCAAAATATAATTCATTCTCTTCACTTTACAATTAACGACATTGATAAACTCATGTACACATAAACTCACAAAAAAAGTTTGCGATGTTCCAGTGATGGGCTTCCATCATGGTAGCCATCATTTTCATATTATTGTATGAAATTTTCCGGTGATAGCTGGTCAAAAAACTTAAGATATAACGAAATAAACGTCAATAACCAATTAAATCCGAAGTTACTGGTAAAGCTCATACATAAAATTTATTCTGATACTATGCCGTATTAAAACTTTGTCAAATGTCGACTAACTAAATTGTAATCAACGTTAATTCATATTTTCTGGAACGAAAGATACTGGGCGTGTCGCCAGGGCAGCGGCTCCAGCTACGAGGTGGTGGAGATGCAGTGCCCCAACGGTCTGGTGCACAGCACCAACCCTGACTACCCCTACTGCATCGACCCCAGCGAAGAGGCCACCTGTCACGCCTACGCTGCTGAACACTGAATACTACAACTCAACGGTCTGGTGTTCAGCACCGGGTCCAACTACCCATACCGCTTCGATCCCAGCACTATGGCCACTTGCTAGTTCACCACGAAGGTTCACTAGTTTGCTTCGAAACCTTCTTAGAGAACCGAATACATCAACTCCATAAATCATATTGATTTTTTCTGTCCTTGAAATTTCACTAAATTTTCGATTACCTCGCGGTACCTTACTTGAATTTGAAATGAATTGTAATAGAATGTGGCGATACAATTTAAAGAAAATTTGGCGGCTTACTTCTTGGAGAACCGAATGTTTCAACCTCAAAATCATTATGATTTACACGGTCCATAAACGCGTCTGTTCACTATCGAGGTAAAGCTCCCAGCCGCACGATGTTCAATAATGCGACTAAGTCATTCTGTTTTCGTGAAAAAAAAACTAAATAGAAATCTAAATATTTTTCTCTTTCTATTATATAACTGATCTCCGTAGTTACAAAGAAACATCACTACACATATTCAATCCGTTCCTTGAGAATTCAAACAAGTTTGCTTTCATAATTGAATTGAAATTATAATATTTAGTTGATAAAAATTTCGTAGATGTCCAATGTATTTCTTACATCAACTGCCTTGTTGATTTAAAATTTAAATTATTATTTTGAGCCACATTTTATCAGAATGTATATAAATACCTACGCATTGCGTCGATTGGTCATTATCATGGTGGGTCATTCATTTTAGAATTTCCCGGTCACCTGGTTGGGTTCCTGAAAAGGGTCTCTGTTCGTTTTTATAAAGCATAAACATATACTATGCTAGTAATTATGAGCATATTACGCCAAAATTATAAGCGAGCAACTAATGCTCTCCTTTCCTGCGGCGCGTCATGACAAAAAACGTCAGCCTTGCACGCATGTTGGGGCGCTCGTTTATCCAATCCTCTCTCAGAATAATAAAAAATCTTTTTTCGCTAGAAAAGAAATCCGTCAACCGGGGAAAAATAATGTACCCAGCATCGACCTACTACTTACGGGAGTGTCTCGTTCATACCACTCGATATTACGTCTAATGGATGTATGTTTTAAACTAACATTTCTACGCAATTCGATGAAAACGAATTCTGTCATTAGCAAGAAAAGAGATGCCTGTCGGAGACCACCACTGCCGTGCTTCGAATGGCCCACCATGATCCCATCCCACAAGAACGTAGCCTCGAACACTTCCGGACTACACATTTTCAGCCGCAAGCCACCAGACAGGTAACATCCATTGAAGTAGAACAAACAGCCCACAGTAAAACAATCTGCACTAGTTTGGCCAAGGATCGTATGTCAGTGTGCAAAAAAATTCTACACCTCTCGGTCACAGCGCGCCGGAGCCTTGGATCGCGGATCGAACTAGACTTCCGTCACTTCGTTGAATTACAAAACTTTTAGCTCATAGCATTTTGGGTTAGGTTTCCGATAGCATAGTTCTGTTCCGAAATCTATCGCCCGCCAACGAGTGACCTCCGGAACTTCGTTAACTTACGTAACTTACTGCCATCGACGAGCCGCTGTTCGACAGTGGGCTGATTCGATGCCTAGGATGAATACGGACGGGTTAGTGACGGTCCTCAAATTCATTGCAAAGCTCCGGCGCACGGTGTCCGAGTGGCGCAGAATTTTTTCGCCCACTGGCAGACGATTCTGGGCCGAACTATTGCAGGCTGTTTTCCTGTGGGCTGATTGGTCTACTTCAATGGATGTAATCTGAAAATTGAAGCAACTTCATTCACGGAATGTCGTAATGACGTTACAATGCAACGTTTAATCAATGTTGCTACTACGACGTTACTGTAAAGTTGAATTCTTTTCTCGTACAATATTGCTTCTCAACCTGTAAAATAGAAGTCAATCTGACATGATATTTAGCTCTGAGCATTTATTAATTCGCTATTAAGGCAATTTTCCTTGCTGTTTGCAAAAAAAAACATAAAATAATGAGAACAATTTTACTTTACACTCCACCACTAAGACGTTTTATTTTTATCCTCCACCACCAAGGCGTTCTGGGCATACTTGAGACACTTGGAGGCCTCTTCGTTCAGCTTAACTATCAACCGCCTGACACGAGTAACCGGAGCAATATTGTCACAAGCCTAGGTACTTCGCAAAAAGGATACGTTCTAGTGAGCGCAAAATGACTTGCACTGATGGTTGCCACCACGTACGACAACTTTAAAATGTTCTCTGTTGTGTACAAACGTCCTCAGGCTGATACACTTAATATTTTACGTATAATTGTTATGTTGAAACGTATTATGTTTACGTATAAGTTGAAAGTTATGTTCCCGAAGAGTGACATACGGCGGTAGAGGGTTAAACTTGGTGGCTTCACGAAAAGTTGCCAGGACGACTTCTGAAAAGAAAATTTGTATACCTTAAGTAACTATAATTTTCGATGCAAGTCATGTTATTATGGGGAAAATTAAGGCATGATTAAGCTGATCAAGTACGTTTATACACAATTTTCTAGTAATCATTTAATAAAAACGCAAGCATCTATATGTAGCTATAAATATTATAGTAACATGCTTACGCTATTCCTTGGTACGGATGGCATACTAGAGCCGCATCTATGTACAAATTACACCTTAAAGCTATAGGTAAAAGTATGTGTGACGTGCAAGAAACATAAATTTATTAGCATAATGATGCAGGGTTGCACTGGGAAACTGCCCGGTGAGCTGCCCACCTATCCACCCGGGTTGGGCTTTTTAACCTGAAAACCCTGGGCTTTTATAAAAAACTGGATGAGTGAAAAGTGAATTTTAAGTAAAACTTAGAAATACATCAAATTGATTTTATAGTTTTCAACTTCAAAAACAATAAAACTGGATAGAAGCTAATAAGGATATATCTATTAAACTTTCTTGAACAAATGCAGTCATCTCATATATATACTGCAAACTTCTATAAAAAGACTACATCGATTTGAGTCCTAGAAAATCCCACGCATTATAAAGTTTCATAAATGTTACTAGGTCCCCTAACTTGCTCTACAGTCAATTAGGACCGACGACAACGACATGAATATCAAAAAGTGACCAATTGATATCTCCTTCATATCGAAGCCCATTTGTGATTTTGTCTAAATTCTTAGCAATTTTTTCTCTTCATAACTAGAGTAATAGAGTTCACAGAGGTTTTTTGTAATTATTTTACGTTACCCTACTTGAACTATAGGTTTAATATAATCATCAGCATAAGTGTTAATTTAATTTAAATACTGTAGTTTCTCATAATGAAATAGAAAAACACCCTTATTAGTCTTAACAACAATTACTTATTCAATGATATTTACATACACTATGCCATTCAAGGCTATAACTTCTTGTTTAATATAACTTTTTATTAACCAACTCAAAAGTCCATACAAGTTCTAACAAAATTATGCATTACCAAAAGCACAAAGTGAGGGAAGTTAAGTTTATGGACTTCTGTCGGTTTTGTCATGTGTTCATATAAACACTCGATAATATGGCTCTTTAAATAGATTCATACCTTGAAATTCTCTACAAAAAAAGGCTGGCAGTGCTGAAGGAAGTTCAAATCGTCTATGTATGTATTGTTTTTAATTAAAGATATAATGCACTCAGAAAAATTATTTTGCTAGTGTTTTTTTCTGCACTAAGTTTTGCTAAGAACATGTATTTTATTTAATTTTGCATAATTTAGGCCTCTAGTTAGCAGCCCTCATTAGTAGTAGCAATACAAACCAGGAAATTATTGAGCATGTACTGCAATAGGAGAAGCCTCAAGGTTTGGCACAAATTCAAAGTGCTTAGTCCAATTTTTCAAACGTATTACCTGTTAATTTTATTTTTTGGAGTCTTGCAAAATATGAGTTTTGAGAAACAAGACAACTGCAGATCTGGGTTAATTGATTTGATGCATATTTTTACATTGACTTGTAGCCTGACACAGATGGGTCACTGTTGTGATACAACACTGTTCGAATAGTGACACAACAAGTTAATGATGCATCATTGGCTCACAATTTAAAAATTTACAATTATTTTATTAAAGGCTATGGCAAATGTAACGAAGGTTTATACTGGTTACTCTTCAGCATAAAATTTATAATAATAAGCATAACTGAAAAGAACTTTGAGCTAGGTATAAATTGAATAAGTGAAAAAAGATTTTTACACATTTCGCCCGTTTTCGCAACAAAACCCTGGGTTTTTATAAAATTAACCGGGTGGGTGGGACACTTAAAAAAAAACCTGGGATTTTTGCAACCCTGTAATGGTGGCTCGGTAAAGATATATGAACAGGCATGTGTATGACAAATGATACCTTCACCTATATAGTAAGTGATATGCTAAAATTATATAGCAAGTTATTAAAAGGACAAGCCAGAGCTATAACTAGGCAGCTAAGAGACTTGCTTGACCTATAACTTTAGTTATGACGGACATGCTACAGCTATAACTATTGTTATAAATGACATGTCAAAGCAATATAGCTGTAGGTACGAGTGATTTGCTAGATGCCATGTATCTAGGTTTGAATGACATATTAAAGCTATAAGTACGCCTTACTTGCTTGAACTTATCGTCCGAATCAATTGGGTTTAATGCAACTGGGATGAGGAATGAAGAATTTGGGAAGATTAATTGCATCTTGTATTACCGAAAATAAATACAGGCCATGTCGTTAGACTGACCTCCTCGAACAGTGGATAGCTATCACAGATCCATTCCCCCGCACTCCTATACAATCATTCGCGAAATTTATTAAGAAGATACGTAAATGCGATGATCCTCACAAGAAGTGAATCTTAACTTACATGACCATGCAATTCACACTTTATGGTTGAATATGTAGTGCTTACTTTCCTTCATGACATAAAGGCCTGCAAGTAGAGTAGTCTAATTTCATTTATTTTTTTAAAAACAAAATTTTGACAATACTTGAATGTTTGCCATAATCAAACATGAAAAATTCATCAATTATTCAACATTGCATATATTCAAAATGGCAGATATCCTTCAATATATACCTTTAATTAATAGCTGCGAACAAGCAAGTTCCGTTGAATGCAATTTTGTTTTTCTTTCCCTTAGGGCATTGCTCATGGTTCTGAAAACTTAAGAATATAACTTGCACATAAAGTCAGATAAAAAAAAATACCTACACGTCGTAGTCGTTCAACAGAACTGTTGATTGTATCCGTCCTAAAATTATCAAAATGTCGCAAGGTTAAGGCTGTCAGTGTCCTAAAACCTATTTAATTACATGCAACATATCTTTGTTGGGACAACTATAGAAGCACTTAAAATAATATTATGCACAATATATATTATATTTATAGCCCTCTTGCTCCCCAATCTTGAGTACTGCTGCAAGCTTTAGGCACCGCTCAAGGCGAGCGCGGTGTAGAAACTGGGGTCGGTCCAACGGACCTTTATTATTCACTGCATCTTGCTACTTGGAAATTAATATAGTTGCATTCAAAGCAACGTCGTTAATATATCAAAAATATCTTTTGGTAACAAGATTTTCGGTATACCGAACAATATTTTTCGACGAACAACGAAAATTATCGTATGAATTGTAAAAAAAATGGTATATTGTTCATACAGCCAAGTCTCCGGTTTTTCATCAGATTTGCTTAATGGTACTTGAATAGTTCGGGGGAAGTTGTTCTTTACAAAATTAATTTCTACAATTACGAGACCACAGAGTATAGCCTTTCTCAATTTTACGGATTATACTTTTGGTTAGATTTAAAAGTTCGAACAATAAATTTTCTTGAGCCATTTTTTTATTGGTGCGACTTTTCAAATGACCATTATTCCTCGAAAACAGTAGAAAAAATTTCAGGTGGATCAAAGGTTATGTGAAGCTTTTTTTTTATTTTGATTCGGGATGATACAACAAGGACGTTTAATGTTCAAGCTTTTCCCAATTTTACGGATTGTACTTTTTGTTGGATTTGAGAGTTCAAACAATAGATTTCCAGGAGCCATTTTCTTACAGGTACAACTTTAAAAAAAACATTATTCCTCGAAACCAGTAGAAAAAAATATTAACAGGTGAAAAGAAGGTCTTATAAAGCTTTAATTTAGATTCGGGAGGATACAAGTACAAGGATGAAGTATTGTAGATACAACGCGCAGTTTGTATTGACTGACGTCTTCTCTGTTAGGTTAAGTTAGGACTGACCCTCATAAAGGGTTAACTCATTTATATTTTCGATTGTTTTGCTCTGGAGAATTAAAGTGACCACAATTTTTATAGTCTTTTTATTTCCAACAATTATTGATAAATAACTTCCGTCGTATCTGAATTCAATTTATTAACATTTCAATAACCTGAGTTATAAAATGTTAGTTCGTAATTTCGTCCATCAGGATCATTGTTTCATAGTTAGCTCCGCAAGTTTTGACATTTGTGAGAACTATCTATGGATTTACCACGAGTCGTCATCAATGACTGATTCGTTTTCCAATAGCAGACCTGTTGTTACATCAGACGTTGTTGCGGTAGTTGTGACATGAACTAGGTTTGAAAAATCGCACTGAGTCCATAAATCGCAAACTCCTTGATATCCTTGCTCACATGTTCTTGTGTCTGGGTTGAAGAAATAGTCTTTACCACAATCATAAGGTCCTCCTGGTTCACCCCCATTTGGGTCACAGAAGTAGTACTGGGTGCAGTTCAGCAGGTCAGGACAAACCCCAGTGCATAGATTCCCCGCGAAACAGGGCTCGGGAGGAGCCGGGGCGCAGATGTAGTCTTTTGAAACGTACTCGTCCGCAGCGCAAACCTTTCCCGATTTACCAACCAACCCATTGTCACATTGGTATCCGATGTTACATTTGGGTGGTATTACCATAACTTCTGGGTCAGGCATACCATAAGAGGTGCAGTCAACACAGTACCCACTCAGGCATGCTCCAGCACCTTTTATGCTGCCGGCGCAGTCAACCACGTCGACTATACCGTCCGCGTTGCATTTGTCGGTGTATAATTCATTGTAGTCGTCGCACCTGTCGCTGTCGCAAATACATTTCGTGGCATCTGCCATTGGGATGCACGTAGCCTGTTCTTCAAAGACTTCCTCACACACCTGAAAATTGAGCAATCGGATAGAAGATATTCTAATAAATTAGAGTTGAACATCGTATCGAATATTGAGCAATTGATGGAAGTCTAATAGTTCCAAAATAATATCGTCTGAAAATAATTTATCCGTTAATTAAATCTATTGATGACAACATTTGAAAGATATTGATGAGTCTTCCATAACCAATTTGTCGATCGAAAACTCAACATTTTTAGCACATCCTAAAACTTGCATCCGGAAGATTAGCACCAATTCACTTCACTTTACTGCACTTAAATTTTCACAGTAAAATGAATTATCTATATAATTTGAATGCGTTGGGTACTCACTGTGCCATCAAGACATATGGGTAGCACCACTAGTCCCCCTAATGGATCACACAAGTATGGCTGTAGACAACTGGCGCAGTGGAACTCTTGTTTAGTGACCGACCCAATCGGGCAGAGGGTTGACTCGAGCGTTGGTAGGCCTCTGCGCCCGAGAACAAAGTTTTAGTTAACTTGTATCGTAATTATTAATCGATTTCTAAAATCTGCTAGAGTATTTGAAATATTTTGATTGACATTCAGTCTTCTTCACTAACCTTGTTACATTTTTTGAACGTAACAGTACCAGATTAGATTATCAAGATCGGAATTATGCGTCGGAATCTTGGCTAATTGGCTGCCACAACATTTATCAGTTCTCTGCCGATGCATACATTCAGTTAGTTGGGCATCCTACTTGCCATCACCGAGCAGTTCCATCCTACCCAGTCAGGTTAACGCGCTTGTTGAACTTACAGATTGTCACGTGCAACCTCGTGAGAAACGCCAGGTTGAACTGCTGTTGTGGTGTGGCTAATTTATATGTCATTCAGCAAGCAGCTCAGTCTGGCGTTGCTTGGGATATCCCAATCCCCGAATTTGAACATCACTTTAGTGTTAACGAATTCGTTTTTTATGTCTTCTTTATAGTTTCTAACTAAATCAATCCGAATTAAAGAAATATCTGTTTCAAGGGAACCAATGACGTACATGCTTCCCTCAAGTAGGGCATGTGCGTCATAAAAAATTTTAATTATGGATGGATCCTTTTGAAACTTGGCACACATATATATAATAGAAATCTAAGACTTTTTTTCGTTCGTGTTAATTGTTTGAAAATTTTTAAGAAAACGTGATATACATGGACAACGGCAAAAAAGGCTGTAGAAATCAAACAAAAAATCAATTTCATCATTCAATTAACGTGCTACAACATCGAGAGACATATCATTCGACTCGTAAAGGCCATATCTAGCGATCATCCAATAACTTTTCTAAGTTTTTTCATATCTATGTGATTTTTAAGATTTTTCTAATTATGGTCCCTACACCCCCCCCCCGTTTTTTCAAGACAATCCAAACAAAAAATGAATCAGAAAAAGTTGCCGGATGATAGCCAGATCAGGTCTTTAGGAATCGAATGGTACATCTTTCAATGCTATAGCTTTAAAATCGTAGGAGATAGATTTTCAAGATCAAAATTACAAGTTTTCAAGTGAGTATAAAAACTAAAATTTGTGATCATTGAAGGCATAGGTTTTAGGTGCGCTTCGCCGGCTATAGTGAACACACAAATTAACGAACAGCCGGAGAAGTCTATATTTTCGATTTTTCACTTACATGTTCCCTTTGACATTAAACCAACCAAACCTCCATCATCACCACGACGTTGAATTAAAAAATTATCTGTGGTAGTAAAAAATTTTAGCGCTAATTACTGATATTTTTCAATCAAGACAGCGTTTTGTAACACTTCGTGCTTTAATTGCCTAAAAACTAAAAAATTCCTTTCCCCGCTTGGTAATCCCGACACGGTAGTCATGCTGGATACTCCAATAGCCCCTTTATATCGGAGTGCCAGGCTCATAACTAATTTGCATAAACGTGCAATTTTCTAGACATCTAGTGTTTAACTTCAACAAAGAAAGGTTCAAGAGCATTTATTGGCCCGTATGCTAAATAGGGCACTAGCACTACGAAGTAGCACTACGCACTACAAGCCGTAGTGCCTACTAGTGCGACATGGAACACTACGGTTGGCATGCTAAATAGGGCACTAGCACAATGAAGTAGCACTACGCACTACAAGCCATAGTGCGGCATGGAACACTACGGTTGGTATGCTAAATAGGGCCAAAAGCATAACGCGCACTACAAAAATCTGAAGTGTCCTACACACCGCACTTCACGACGACACTACGGTATATCTCACCTTGTTTACTTCGTCAGCTATGGATCTGCTTGTCTTACAGCAAAAGCATCATCGCGTAAAAACCTCAGGAACAACATGCTATGAATATAAAAAAGTGCACCGCTTCAGTGAATAACATGTTATTCTTATGGCTGACATTTTCCTTGGCGAAACAGATGAACAGCGTAGAAATAGAAAATACTTTTCTTGTTTTTATTACCATGTTTAATTTTTTTTAGTCATTTGACTTCTTCTGCGAGAACTTTTCATGCTTCTCTCTTTTGTTCGATGTGTTTGGGAAGCGTGGCCTTTGAATATATGATGGGCAAGGTGCGCAGACGCATTGCGAATTTCAGCTCACTATCACAATTTTCACTAGTACCAATATATACCATCACAATTAGACATTTTACATCAATCTTCTTCAAAGAATGAGAATTACTTAGGGAATAATTATTACTTATTTGAGCACTTAACTACCATTCTTCAATATACTCATAGCGTAGTGAGGCACTATAAAGTACTCTAACAGCGAAGTAGCACTTCAAAGTCTTTCTGCATACGAATCAGTAGTGCGACACTAAGCGACACTAAACATTGTAGAGCTACTTCGAAGTGCTTAGTGTCTGTGACGTATTTAGCATACCAACAGGACACTTCGTAGTGCATAGTGCTACTTCGTAGTGCTAGTGCCCTATTTAGCATACTGGCCACTGTCAGGTACGGATGCATATACGGATTGACGCTCAACAACTACAGAAATAAAGCTTGATCAATGTTCGGAGTTACGAAGCAATGTTTTGAAAGTGCCTGCCCTGGAATTTTGTATTGACATCGACAATTTTTTAACGGAAAATGAGTGGAAATGAGAAATTAAATAAATATATTTGTTTGTACTTAACCCTCACCTGACCGCCACCGCGACGATCAGCAACACCTTAAAAAACAAGGGAAAAGATGAATAAATGATGAGTTAGATTTATTATGTGACAGAAATGACAAGGTTTCCGAAGCAAACGAAAAATAGCGGTGAAATTAATTGAATCATATTGATATTTCAAAATGATTGTAAAAATAGGTATTTTTAAATGATAAAAATCCACTTAAGAGCAAATATACAAAATACACAATGAAAATAAATGGACATAAAAGACGTGCCTTGTTATCGAAGCATAAATTTAATTGCTAGTATTTTTTTATATATGATAACCAATATTATGACCTCATCACGCTCTGAAAATGTAAATTAATTGTCCAAAAGCAATAAATGTTTCAATGTGAACCACAATATCTCACATAGGTCCTTATACAATGGCCTGCAATGGCGACCAGTACAACTTTCAAATGCAATCGATCATTAATTAGCATAGGCTAAAGGCGATTTAAAATTCATAAAATCTTTTTTGCAAAATATATCGATGTGAACCACAAGTATTAAATGCTTAGTTCATAAAAAAAAGTCGTAATGATTCTCACCACGGGAATTCTTCGTAACATTTCGACGCCTTTCCTGCCTTCTGAATTTTCAGTTTCCTGCGCAGTAAAAGGAGTAACTTATTCATTTCATTAACACTTCAAAATTTAAATTTTTTCTAAATTAGAGCAAATTCCCACGACGAACGGTATCACTTATATAGAGAAGCTATACGAACATTCCCTCCTCTCCTCGCCCCCTCATTAGGCTACGTTATCTTGCCCACATCAATCATCATCTTATCTGCCAATATTGCCATATGTATTTGACTCCATCAGTAAGAAGTGCCTTTGTAGCGGAATCAATTGAGAACACGGTGGTTGTAAGTGAAAAAAATAAACCGCAACCCGAAGTTGTTTAATGCAAAGGGAAAAAATACTCGGATGAATTATAAAATAGGAACCCGGAATTGTTGGATGAATCTCAAAAATAAAATTGCTCAACAAAATCTATCATTTTTCAAAAGATGTTCGCATGTAACCATTTTCACCTACACGGTGTTGCCGTCGTGCGTGCAGTTAGACTGCAGGGAGGTGCTGCGTGCTGCTCGCCCGACGTCTGGATGAGTTGTGCTCGGGTCCCGGCATTCGGCCCCCGGCGCCTGCAGTATCTTATCTCTAACATGTGCTTATTATTGCTGTCTGTTGTCTAAATGTGACGCCCAGATTTCCTTGCAGAACTCAATTTACCTCAGATGTTAATTCATGAATATTTCGTTGTTTTCAGTTCTAAATCGAAGCGGTGGAGGTCGTTGTTATATTAACTAGGGAAGACTTTCTTCATTCAGTTTTAATTTTCAGTTGTCGATTGGTCTGAACGATATTGATAAACGCTTTGCTTGATGATGCAACTAAGTCCTCTTGACCATGACAATCATACTTCCGTACTGGTATATTACTCAGAGTATAACAATAACGGATTTTTTACATTAATGTAAATAAAAAAATAATCATTAACAAATGTTTTTTTATTCTTTGTCACCCAGCTAATTAAAATTTTATAAATTTTTTGTATGGTAAATAAGAAATCTTTAAGCACAAATCAATACTCAAAGTTTCAAACCTTGAAGTTCCAATTAGTGCTTCACTATTTTCAGTAAATTCAATTATTATATGCTATGATATACGTTTCTCTCTTATATCATCTATGAAACCATTCAAAATATTTTGTTTACAAGTACACTATGCCAACGTACGGCGTTGCAGGTTTTAATTTAAATTCGCGTATCATTTAATAAAAATATACTATTAAAGAGTTTCAGATATATAATGATTTCTACGATTAATAACTTCTAATTTGCCAATTCTGTTATTTTCCCAAAGATTGAACTGTTATTATGGTTCGGACCAAATTTATTATTTTTAATGTGTGATTCTGTTGACATTCATGTATGGTTGTAACAATAATCTAAATGTTAACACGAGTGTAATCATAACCTTCATGTGAACATGACATGAATGTAATAATAACCTTCGTGTAAACATATAAGAGTGTAATAATAACATTAATTTTAAAACGAGTGTGTATAAATAACCTTCTTATTAACATGTGTGTGTCATAATAACCATACCAGTCACACGTGTGTGCATGAATAACCTACATGTTAAAAAATGTGTTTAATAATAACCTTCCTCTTGCTTGATTGCTTCTCGTGTGATAAAATGCAACTGACGCTTCCTGGGGGCATATGGTGGTCGGGACAATAGCCGAAACTAAAGTTTTCATTTGTTTTCGTGGTAATGATTGTGATAATCCTTACCATTGCGACACCATTAGACGATATAAAAAAATGACAAAACTTGACGTATGAGCATTTTTAAAATGAATGAAAACGATTCAGCAAATTTAAAGACTGTGAACAATTATTCCCACGTTAAAAAACATGTATGAAGTTGCTCGTGGGAAAGTCCAGCTGTGATGCTTCTATTCTAGTACGTGACCTCGAAGAGGTTGCTGCCTCGGGATAAGTTGGTGCATACGAAGTGAGTTTTCGTATAAGAAGGACATTAATTAGTTAAACTTTGCCCGCATGCACTTCCACGATTTTTGTCGATTGCTTTTTATTTTTGCGAGGATATTTAATTTCTTATCTTTCCCTGCCTTATATAAATGAATAAAAGCCCTCACTTAATTTTATCCCCTATATTTCTATTCTTAAATTGTCGACCGTTTTATGATCGAATTTTATGATCGAGGAGCTGAAAATTTGCGAGATTACCGAGTTGTCATAGTACGCATGGCGCTAGTTCTGTCACTGTCTTTCTTTAATCAATTCCCAAGGTGTGCAACAATTTTTTTTAATCTCTTCCAAAGCATTCAGCACGTTTGTTCTTGATGAGTTATATGTTCTGGAAATATTTGTATTACTTTCGGAATGGGAATTGGGGTTCCTGCTGACCTCCTGTCATAACCTTTGGATTGGTAATTCACGCTGCATAATAAGCTTTTCCTAGAATAAAAAGCTTTACTAAAAAATTTTAAAGTTCACGTCGCATTCATACAAAAAAGTTCTATTGATAAGTATTTACTACACTCCTAAAAGACTATAACATTCAATTATACTCGTCAACATCCCAAAAATACAGAAACAATGTACTAAAACATTCTGCCCGGCCACCTTTGCCTTACCACATTCCCCTCCTCCCTCTCTGAACCCTGCACTCTTATCATCCTCCTCCTCTCCCTCATCCTCCACACGTTTTCCAAATATCTCTTCCCAGTCTCAAACATCGCCGCAGTTGCTCCCTCATACAGACCCGTAATTATCGCCATCCACTCTTCGCTTGTTCTCTCATGCCCCACCTCGTTAGTCTCACCTCTCTCATTCAGAATCACCTCCATCATGGACTGACGCTCTCTCTCCCCATCTCTACTACCATCATATATACATTCATATTTTGGCATGGCTTATATCTGGTACTGTTTACAATGATCTTTCCCTCCATTCCTAGCTTCCACACCTCTAGTCCATAGCAGGGTGCAAACAAGCGTTAGCGTGTAGGTTATTTTTACACACACGTGTTAACATGAAGGTTATTATTACAACCCTAAATAAATGTGAATATTTGAAATAATAGTGAAGTGAATATTTGAAATACTTTATTTATCATCTCCATCTCTTATTTTATCAGTTCAGCTCATCATTTAAATATTTTACGCGTTCTGAGATGCTGCCTAACAATGTACATCTAGTCACGAATTCTAAAATATTTATTTCCTATGTTTAAAAACTGTAAACTAATATTTATCGATATTAGTCTCAAAATAATCTACCTCTTGAAATGTTTAACTGTTGTTCCTTTCTACGCTTTGGACACTTTCTTGCTGTTTCTAGGATCCAGTTTCATTTGAACCCGAGTTCTAAAACCCCTTTTTCCAAATTCCGATTCCCCTAACCCTATTTTCCCCTAATCGTGGCACCATTATTTCCTTGGAAATATTTGAACTGAAGTAGTTTTATTAAAAAATATTTATTATTATGTAATTATCATGAAACTCTCACTTTACTCGTATTTAATTATCTAGAAGAAACCTAACTGTTTAGTTCTGAATGGAATGTTTACTTAATAAATTTAAATATGAACTAGATTTTCCATTAAAACCCATTTATTGACTATTAATAACAAAGTTTAATTTCATTTTGTGGCTGAATAATAAAGCTTAGGAAAACAAAGGGTATCAAGCCACAAAATTTATATTAGAAATTAGTAACATACTGGACTATATTGGAAAATCAAATGTATCTTGAGTGAGGGAAATTTAAATTTATTACAAATTTACATTATTATGCGAAGTGAGTAGATTTTAAGCATCCTCTAGCTGGCTTTTGGCTGGCGCACACGTCACCGATATTTTGCCCAGTTATTTTTGCTCCCTACGAAACTGTGTCGCTCCCTACGCAGCTGTGTTGCTCCCTACGCAGCTGTGTCGCTCCCTACGCAGCTGTGTTGCTCCCTACGCAGCTGTGTTGCTCCCAACGCAGCTGTGTTGCTCCTGACACGTTTGATCGGCACAAGAACACACTGGGCTTGTTTGCCTCACACCCACACAGATTTTTAGGAAGAATTGTCAACGCTTTTTAGCGCATTTTCTCATTTATTGAAAAAATGCCCGATTATGCTCATGTCCGTCCGTCTGTCTGACCGTCCGTCTGTCCGTCCGTGACTTCACGTTTTAGTCGACGAGAAAATGCGCTCTCTGTCACTCACTGCAGTGAGCACTGAGTTATATTTTTCACTTAATTCTTAGTGTTTTTTCCTCAGATGTACACCACTCCTGAGCTGAGCTCGTCTTTGTATTGCATGAGACTGCACGAAATCAGGAGCCTTGCTTTCAAAACTCGCTAAGTGTACGTAAGTACTTACGCTCTATTTTCTTGTCTATGATTGGTGGATTTTGCTCGAAAGACCGTCAATGATTGGCTAATGAACTTACGATCTCTTAACGTTTTTTGAAAGTATAGGCCCTGATCTATATTGTTGGGTCAACTGGCCGGGTGATGTTGAGGCCAAGAGTGTCTGAGCTCCTAGAAGAATCTTTTATCAAAGTGTCCATCATACGTTCATTATTTTTACATATTTTTAATTCATGTTTTTGAGACTGTTAAATTCATTAGAAAAATTTTCCTGCCGAGGTACCAAATTTTTCTACTTAAATTTGTTTATATTTTCGACATATACAAGCATATTTTCTGTATGTTCAAATGATAAATCACAATATACATGTTTCTATCAATATATTTAGAGGTAGGAATTTTTTTCAAATATTTGATCATGAACAGGAGGTACTTCACGAATTATGTTCAATTGCATATAGGGTAACATGGGGCAGCGAGCCCACTGCGGGTCATTGGCCCATAGCGGGTTTCTCGCTAAGTATGGCAGATATTGGTCCGTGTTCTCTACCGCCGGTCGACAGTTTCACTGGGATGAAGTGTACGGATTTACATTTTGCTAAGTGTTTGCGTCATTAAGTTATTTGTGAATAACTTTTTTAGTCCAGATAAAAAATTTTTTGCTGCTAAGTAAAATTTTTTTCGATTACTGTAGATGAAGATTTTCAAATTACTGTGAATTATATTTTGAAAGTAATATTTACAGGGATAATTTTGAGATCAAGTTTAGACTATTAGCTTTTAAAATAAAATGTTGACACGATATAAAAGTATTTATGACCCCTTATCGAGTTATTGACTCTTGCCTTGCCAAAAATTGATTTCAGCCAACACCAATGAGCCAAAAGTTGATGAGTTTTTATGGTGTTGGCTGATATCACGATAAGGTACGAATTCTCTGCACATAATATCTGGATTATGGACGAAACTGGAACGAAGTTTTTTTCTGATCAACTAAATATATTTTTTTTAGTCAAGGATACATTTTTTCATGTTTAGGACGAATTTTTTATCGCAAAGATATATTTCTCAAGTCAAGGATATATATTTTTATGTCTAGGAAATATTTTTCTTCATGTCAGTGATAGATTTTTTAAGCCAAGAGTTTATTTTTTTCAAGTTAAGTAAATGATTTTTTTGAGTTGTTAATAAATGAGTGAATGT